GTAGATTTGGTCCTGGAGATCTTCGTTGTCGCTGTTGGCTGCCAGTTCCATGTCGGGCTGTAGGTCTCGGGGCAGGCTGAACACGAAGGCGTAGTTCAGGACGTAGCGCTTCAGCTCCTCGGTGGGGAAGCCCCCGGCGTGCTTCCACGCGCATTGCAGCGCCTGGCGCCAGCTGCTCATGTCCGTCGTGCGGAGGTGGCCGACGTACGGGACGGCTTCGGTGGCCTCGTGTGGGTTGCTGGTCCAGGGACAGAAGAGCAGCAGGATCTTCATGATGTGCTCCTCCTCGCTGCGGCTGCCGAGCGCACCGTAGAGGACCGGCACGTGCGGCCGCTTGCGTGGGACGATGACCCAGTCGTGGCGATGCTTCCGCACGCGGTTGCCGTTGCCCAGCGGCATCCAGTTTTCCCCGCCTTGTTCTCGGATCAGGTAGTCCGTGCCGCCCTGCAGAAGTCGACGTCCGAGTTTCTTGCCGAGCTTCTCCTTGCCTTTGTCCGTCAGCAGGGCGTGGTAGGCGATGTCGTTGTCGGCGGCTGCTTCGCGATCAGCGGCGGCGGCCTCCTCCTGCTGCTTTAGGGACCATGGATATCTGGCTGGCTGGATGTGGTAGAACCGAGCGAACTCGAAGGCCGAGAGGGGTTGCACTCTGGGGTCCGTGCCGCGGTTGCCGTAGACGGTCCACAGCTGTGGCTCGGCGACGAGCTTCCTTTTGCTTTTGTTGCCGGGTCTGTCGACCCACCCACTGAGGTCGCTCTGGATCTTTGCGCGCTCTGTCGGCAGCGGCCGGCCTTCGGTGGCGGCTTGCATGAGCTCGAGGCCCACCTGGAGGGACATGCCCGCGAGTGCTGCGGTCTTGATGGTTTCCGCGGCGGTGGGGTCGTTGTGGCCGGCGTTGTCGATGAGGTTGGTGCACTCCACGGAGCCTCGGACCACGCCCCGGGCGAAGGCGTCCGTCATGAGGCTCTTCGAGGCTCTGGCTCCCACGTAGCCGGCGGAGGAGTTGTTCCGCAGTTCGGTCTCCAGGTCCTTGTGGCTCTTGTTCCACTCTTGGACCTCGTTGACCGCGATGGGGTTCCGCTTGTTCTGGTAGTCGCATGCATATCCTGCCTGCGCTGCTTGGTTCAGCTGGGCCTGGTAGGTCATCTCCCGCAGGCTGCTCTTCGTCGGGCAGTCTCGCGTGCAGCGGCCGGCGGCGTCGTGCAGGTCCTCGGTGATCGGGAAGCGGTAAGGCAGCTGGACGTCGCCGTTGCAGCGCAGGGCGGCCAGCAGCGCGGGGTGGTTGCCGTTGAGGTTCGGGTCGTTGCAAGGCCCCCAGAGACGGCCGAGGGCGCTGCGCTTGCCCGTGACCGGCATGCCCATCTTTTCTGCGAGTCCCTCGCACACGAGTGTCGTGCTGTCCACCAGCTGCTTCTCGCGAGGGAAGCCTGCCTTGCACTTCGTGGGGTCTTTATTGTCGCGGCAGTGGTCGAGCGGCAGCCGCGGACCGTTCGTCGTCTTGGGGAGGTGCACGTGATGTTGCTTCAGCTGCTGCAGGGCCTCCACGTCCTCGTCGAGATAGAGCCGTCGCCAGTTCGTGGCGTCCGTGGACGCGTCTGTGCTCTGGTAGTGCGGGCGGCTCAGGGCCAGGTAGGAGTCGCGGTAGGCGGGCCACTGCTCCTCCGTTTCCGGGCGCTTCTTCTCCCAGGTTTGCGGGTCCCGGTAGATGGTGCGGCTGACGTGGGTCGTGTAGGTGCAGTACTTCTGGAAGAGTTCTTGCTTGCGTGCGGGACCCAGGGCCTGCAGCTCCGCGAGGGACTTGAACTGGTGGAAGCACTGGAGGAAGAGCTGCACAGGGGGCGGCGGTGGCTTCGGTGTCGCATGGCCTTTCTTTGTTTGTCTCTCATGACTGTGCCGGCGTGCCTGGAAGTGGACGTGCAGCACCCCGGACTTCTGGCTTTCGATGGACCCGAACGCGGCGTCGATGCGGCCGAACATCCCGCCGCAGGCCATGGCGTTGCTGCCGAAGGCGTCCGCGCAGGGTGTTTTGGACTTGCTGCAATTCGGGCACTGGGGGCAGTAGCGGACGCCGAAGAGGTAACGCAGCGCGAGCTGCACGAGGGTGCGGAAGCCGTCGGCGCAGGCCACGGGATCCTTGGTGAGCATGGCCCGGCGAGCGTCGTAGGGCGGCAGCTCGGCGGCGAGGGCTTCTGGGTTGAGGCTGTAGAACTCCACGTCCAGCTCCGGCTTGCTGCTCCCCTGGGCTCCTCGGGTGGTGGTGTCCTCTGGGCCGAGGCTGGGGTCGGACTGCCGGGCGCGGGCCAGGCGCAGCATCACCGTGCTGTCGCGCTCTGACGGGGAGAAGGTCACGAAGATCGGTGTGCCGTGGCATATCCGATTGGCGTGGGTTTGGAGGCGCATGGTCTTGCGCACCTCGTGCGTGCCCGGGATGTTTCGACTGCGCGCCTCCGTGTTGTCCAGGACCTGGCACCGCTGTCGGGCTTGCTTTTGGCACTCGTTGTAACCTGGCTCTTGGTAGCTTGCCTGCTCCGAGTGTGGCCTTCTACGGCGCGCGTCACGGCACTTGCTTGCTCTCTACGGGGTTTCATGCGGCGAAGGATGGGAGGCTTGCACTGCGGGTGGGTCCGTGCTTTATAGGATTTTCTTTGCACGAGCTTCGAGCCTTCAGGGCTGCTTTTGAGAGCCCTGGGACGAAGCGTAGTTTGGTGAGGTCTCCGTTGATGGGCTTCAGCTGGTTGTTGATGTCGAGGTACTGGCCTCTGAGGAGCTTTTGCTGGATCTGCTTTTGCCCCTCCATGATCTCCTTGGTGGTCAGGGCCCTGCTCTCGTGGTTCTCGTCGGCGACGCTGTAGATGAAGGCGTTCCCGTGGGTGTTCACCATGGTCCTGAAGAGGTAGTTCCAGAGGGTGAAGCCGAAGCTCCAGTCTCGCCTGAATTGGGTTTCTGCCCGGCGCTGCATGGCTGTTGCCCATTCGAAGATCTGCACTTGGGGGGCCTCCGGGTTCTTGTCTCGGCGGCGTCCTTGCGCTGACGCCCGGTTGCCGGCTTTGCTGTTGCTGTTCTGGACGTCCGGACAGGCGGTGCCGTGGGCGAAGCAGAAGCTGAAGGCCGTGGCGAAGTAGAGCGGCTGGAACTGGTCCACCAAGATGTTGCCGGTGCGCACCTCCATGGTCTCGAGGACCTTCTCGTTCTCTTCGTTGCTGCGGAGCTGGGTTTGGAGGTCGTTGATTGCGGCCGTGGCCACGGCGTTCTGGTCCTCGCGGTCCGTGCTGCAGCCTTCCGGCACGACGGCCCGGGCTCGCTGGTCGGCGAAGATGGCGCCGGCCCGCTGCATGTCCTGCTCCGCCGCGTCCGTCGGGGCGGCGGCCTTCTGCGGCTGCAGCTTGTGGGCGGTCTCGTCGTCCTCGCTCAGGCCGGAAATGATCTTGAGTACTTCCGGCGGCACGCCGCCCTCTTGCAGCTGTGATGCTGCCTCCCGCACATCCGCCATGCGCAGGTGCTGGAACGCGGGATGCCCGAGGCGCTGCATGTCGTGGATGAGGTTCACGACTACGCCTCTCCGCACGGTGGCCTGGTGGAGCAGCGTCTTGATCTCGGTCTCGCTCGTCTTGCCCGTTTTGTTCGTCTTGAGGAGCACCCTCGCGACCTCGGCGAGCGCCTTGCCTGTGCGCGGCAGGCTGGGGGGTGCTGCCGCTCCCGCTTGGTCCTGCTCCCTGGCAACTTCTGCGTGGTGTGCCGCTAGGTTGCGCAGGAGGTCTTCCCATGGGAGGGGAAAGGTGAGGGCGTTGCCGCGCGCGCCCAGGCGGTGACGGGCGTTCTGGGCTTTTTCGTCTAAGGTTGTCCCTTCGCTGCGGTGCCGCGCTTCCATGGACATGCACACCAGGGTCGTCACGCAGGGGCTTGCGCAGATCATTTCCATCACTGTGACCTTCTCTGCGTGCAGGCGCGCCGGGGAGTAGCCTGTCCACATGTCATTGCACAAGCTCAGGGGCGGCAGCTGGCCGTTGTCCAAGTGTTGCGCGCAGTCGCGGCAGAGGGGAACCTCGCAGTGCTCGCAGAGCGTGTGCTGGCTTGGGTGCTGGGGATTGGCGTGGCAGCGGTGGTCTTCTGGGCAGCAGAGTATGTCGCCGAGCCCGGGGATGGTCACGGTCCGCTCGTTCAGCTCGGCCACGTCGGTGAGCTTGACGTCCCCGGCGAGGTCGCCGTAGAGCCCCAGGTACTTGTCGATGCTCAGGATGTCGTGCAGACGTTCGGTTGTCTCGGCGTGGGTCCTGTCGTTGCTGGGGGAACCCTGGATGAGCCTGCGCCAGCGGATGGGGCCCGCGGCCTCGGCGTCGGCCACGCGTGTGTGGATGCATGCGCAGCAGAAGCAAATGATCGCTTCCACCCTGTCTTTGCTGGTGGCTTCGGCGAAGCTCCGCAGCGCGCTTCTGTCCCGCGAGCTTCCTGCCACGGGTGCGGCCTCTCTGCCCCGCAGGGCTATGGCTTCGTTGTAGACGCTGGCCAGTGCATCGGCCGGGATTGGCTTGGGTAGGTGCTGTGCGACGCTCTGCAGTGCTGTTGCGTGCTCTTGCTGGACGTGCTCTCGAAGCTCGTGCTCGGTGCCCGTGAGCAATGACCAGTTGCAGCTCTGGAAGGCGCAGAACTGTCCTGGCCAGGGTTCCCCACGGTCGAGGTCTTCGGGCCTGGCTCCGGGCGGTATCAGCGGCTGGGCTCGCAGCTGGGTGTGTGCGAGGTGCCGGAGAGCCTCTCCCAGTTTCCGCCGGGGGTGGCTGCTGTCCGGCGCCACGGGCATGCTGGTGAGCTCTTCCAGGAGGTTGGGCTCGTCCTGTGCCTCTGGCTCGGGCGGTCGTGTCGCCGGCTTCGACGGCGTCTTGCGCGCCTGGGCCTGTTGATGGGCCTCCTCTCCGCCGGCGGCGGTTCTTCTGCGCTTGGCTGGGCGCGGAATCGGGTGGGGTGGTGGTGGTGGTGGTGGTGGTGGTGGCAGTGGTGGTGCGGGTGGCGGTGCTCGGTCTATGGGCACCAGCAGGTCGTAGTGGTCCCTGCCGTTGTACCAGAGATGGATCACTTCCGTGGCGTTCGGTGCTGCGTGCGGCCCGCGTTGGGCTGCTTCGTCCACGTCCGAGTGCGTGCGCTCGCTCGTGAGGATGTCGCCGTTTGGCGTCCGCCAGTGCAAAAGGACTCGCTGCTGCCTCATGCGGGTGAAAGCGATGATGGCCGTGTCGCCGCCACAGTGACCCGGATCGCTTTGGAGGTATTGGCTTTCCTGTAGCCAGGCCTGCACTTGCTCTTCGTCTTCTTCGGCTTCTGCGTTCTCTCTGAGGTACTGGATGATTAGGGCTCGGAGGCATGCCCCGCTCTCGCCGGTGTTCTCTCCGAGCGCGTGGAAGAGGCAGTTGCCGTCGCCTGACATCTTCTTGATGGCCAGCATGCCCCGAAAGTGCTCCTCTCTGGTGCATTGTCTGCTTGCCTAAAGAGCGCTCTTGACAGTGGATGCTCGAGGGAAAACGCCGGCCTCGACGCTGGGTCCGGGCTCCGTGTCGTGGTCGGAGTCCGTCTCGGCCCCCCCTCGTCGCGCGGCCGGTTCTTCGTGAGATGGTTCAGCGGAATTCCTTGCGAGCTTTGCCGCTTCCACGGCTTCGTTTCTTGGCGGTGTTGCCTCGGCGGCTCTGTCGGCCTGTGCACACAGTGGGACTAGACGCTTGCCGGGAGGTGTTGTGCTCCTTTGGGGTGTAGCTTCTCTCCGGTGCCTCTGCTCGCTGGAAAGCTCGATCCAGGGCTCTCTCGTCGTCGGCCGTCCATCGTGGCTGGCGCGGCAGTGGCTTTTTGGGGGCCTGCAGGTCACGATGCCGCGTACGGCTGGCTTTCTTCTTTCTATGTCTTTTCTCGTGGCACAAGTCCTTACTTGCATTCCGGCCGTGATGCCTTCTTCCGTCGGGGTGTTCTTGGCTTCGCGCCGGAGGGCGGGGTCGTGTCCCGTCGAGGTGCGGTTGTCGGGGAGGTTTTCCAGGCCTCGTGTGTGCATGCCCGTGTGCTCTCCTGTGATTTCTGAGGGCGACGGCACGAGGTGTCAGCGCGCCTCGTCGATCTTGATTGTTCCGCCCTCGGCCGGTGGGTTCGGGGCGCAGTTGCGCGACATACATGCGTGTATACACGGGTTCTCTCTTCGGAGGCTCTGGGGCATGCACGGGCGTCAGAAGTGTCAGGCTGCATCTCCTCGCCAGGTAGTCCTTCTTGAACGCTTCGAACTCCCAGCCGGTCGCCTCGTGGTTCGGTGCGCTGAGGCCGTTGAGTTTTCAGGCGGGGTCGGGCCGTCTGCGCGTGTCGCATGCGATCCCGCCTGATCGTCGTCGTCTGTCATGTCGGCCCACCGTCGGCTGCTTTCGGGCTGCATGATGGCTTCACCTGCACGGGCGGGGGAGCGAACCGTGCCTGCTCTTTCTCTCTTACTGTCGGAAGCAGCTTCGGCCTAGATGGTTCTTCAGGAAGCGTATCTCTGCTTTTGAGGCTCGATCACGAATTGGGCTGCGGTGCCGGGTTAAGGTTGGTGTGCTCTTGCTGCAGGCACGATGTCAGCGTCGTTGGCTTGCTGCTTGCAGCCGACTCTCCTTTTTCGCTTCTGCTGCTGTGGCTGCAAGGCGCGGTGCTCCGATGTAGCCGTAGCCAGTCTGTGAAACTGATTTTGGCTGCGGCTCTCACCACCTGCTTCATAAACTGGACGGTGGTGAGGATTGTCAAGTGATTCGCAAGCTCTCCAAGCCGATTTCCTTCGTAAAATGGACGAGGATACAGATTGTCAGGTGGTGGGCGGGCTTTTCAACTGGACTCCGGAGGTCCTTGCGTAGTTGTACCTTGGCATTGGAAGGGAATCAACGTAAAAATAAAGCAAATATGGCCTTGTCTAGTTGCTGTCAAGATGCGACCAAAGCTGTACCTTGGCTGCGGACATGTACATGAAGTCTGATTGCAGCCAAATTGCATTCCAAGGTGGTATACCTTGGCTGTGACGTGATGACTCAATGCATGTGCGGGAAAGTATGATGGTATGATGAAGCGTGAAGGTCTTTGAAGGCACCCCTTACCAGTGATATAGGAGGCTCATCTTGCATCTGCAGGGGCTCTCATCGCGGATGTATCTTCCTTAGTTCTTGGCTGGCAGCTTGGTTTGGAGCGGACCTGACGTACGACATGGAAGGGAAACTGCGAGCTTGCATGCGTGCAATTGCAGCTTAGTGGCCGTTTCTCATTGCCGTCACTCTGGTAGTGCCTCGGCAGCGGCACAAAAAGGGCGGGATGCCAAGCTGACGTGGACATGTACGTGTCTGATTGCAGCCAAGTTGCATTCCAAGGTGGCATACCTTGGCTGGGACGTGATGAATGAAAGCGTGTGTGTGAAAATATGATGGTATGATGAAGTGTGAAGGTCTTTGAAGGCACCCCCCAGCATACTTAGCCTGGGATGGCCCAAGAGTTTTTCCTTCTAACGCCCCAATAAGCGAAACAATTCTGCAAGAGGTTTTTTCGTCTAACGCCCCAATAAGCGAAACAATTCTGCAAGAGGTTTTCATTCCTGAAGCCCCAATAAGCGAAACAATTCTGCCAGAGAATTTGGTTCCTAACGCCCCAATAAGCGAAACAATTCTGCCAGAGAATTTGGTTCCTAACGCCCCAATAAGCGAAGCAATTCTGCAAAAAAAATTCCTTCCTAACGCTCCAATAAGCGAAACAATTCTGCAAGAGGTTTTCCCTCCTAACGCCCCAATAAGCGAAACAATTCTGCAAGAGGTTTTCCTTCCTAACGCCCCAATAAGCGAAGCAATTCTGCCAGACTAACCCTTCAAAACTCACTGAAAGGCTTGTGCGGACTAGAGGTTTGCGTCTAGATTCTAGATGCACGCCATCCCGGCACGAAACTGTGCGGGGTGTTGAGTATGCAGTGGGAGAGTGCTAGTGTGGCGGCTAGCCTTGGGGTGTTTGTGCTTGCGTCATGGGTTACGGTGACCTAATTAACCTGCTGCTGGCAGAGCTCTTGCTGTCTGTGCTGCTCATGGTGCCAAAGCTTGAGTCCAAATTTGCTCTACGGCGAGTGTTTGCGTTGCGGCAGAGAAACCTGACACTGGAAGCTGACGAGTTCAGGAAAAATAGCAGGGGTGTTGCGCGAGACAGTGTTTTGATAGTGGGAGCGTGCACGCATGTGATTGCATCCTGGCGGCTGCTGCGCGTTTCGGCCTTGTTGGCCGTACCTTGGCGTCCAGATCAGATGATTGCTAGCACATTGGAAGCCTAGCATGGACAGATGTGGACATGCACGTGTTTAATTGCAGCCGAGTCGCTTGCACCAAAAATGAGTCCTTGGCTTGGACATGTTCAGTGAATGCATGCGTGGGAAGTATGAGAGTGTGAAGGTCTTCGAAGGCACCCCCCAGCGTACTTAGTACTGG